TTCCGCCGCGAAAAACAGTAGTAAAAACATATCGCGCGCAATAATGTTGCAACAACGTTTCCTAGTTAACTAAGCATAAGCTTTTGGAAGTCTTTCGGGGGGCTGTTTAGCAGAAAAAACAATTGAGAACTGTTTTCCTTGACGGCAAAAAATCATTTGAATCTTAGCATAAAAACAATATGAGGCAAAAATGATCGGAGGCAGTTCGTTTATTAAGAATCATATATGGCCTATATAGCTAAATGCGAACAGTGCTTAAACTGATCACTAGCGCTTTTTACTACGCCCTGTCTAGCTTCTGTTTAGTGACACAAAACCCAAGCAAGGCTTCGCCCCTCGGAGGTTATTCAACTCGCGCCTGTTAAAAGGCAAACGTTAGCCATCCTGCCATGAGAAGATATCCACCCAGAGGCGCTAACTTTCCAAATGACTTGTCCCTTGTTATTCCAACAATGTAACAACTGAAAGAGAAAATATGCTTTGACTTGGAACAGAGTAGGTGAATGGAAAAGAAAAGAAAAAGAGCGAGGGGCTTTACAGTAGCAGCATTATTTTGTTTTCTAAGGTCAGTATTGCCTTGTTTCTAGTGCAAAAAATAGTTTTGGGGGTTTTGGCACGTGCAGAAGGTAATATATCGAGTGTTGGACAAGAGACATTGCAAGCTTGACCCTTATTTTTTGGCTTGTTTTTCGATTTTTGCCCGTTTGCCAGGCTTTTATTGGGATTCACTCCAGCAGTAGCCTGGGTATCAGAGGTTTTTTTGTCGCGTGAGATGAGGAGCTTCGTCGGCCGCAGGCGGGGGTCAGTTTTTTTAAGACTTGACCGAAACTGGAAACCGCGCACGAAAAGCCTCTGCCACCCAGGGTACTCCCAGGGGCACCCAACGAGAATAAAGTTCAAAACCACTTAAACATAGCATTGTTAAATTATTTCAGTATCCTAACGCTAGATAAAGGCATATTTTTATCCCCTAAAAATGTTTCATCTGTTCGGATTTCCTAGCTGAAAGTCTAGTGATCCGAAAATTATAGGGATCAAAACTTAGCTTTTCGAAAATCTCAGCCAGAAAAAAGGCTCCCGAAAATTCTAGGTGACCTTTTTAGGATAAAAATCCGTTAAAAATGGGTAATTATACCATATTTTAGATGTTCGAAAATCCTAAGAGAGGCAGGCAAGCAAGAAATTTTACAACAAATGTACCGAAAATGCTAGATCTTAAATCGTCTTCCGAACAGATATTTTCCGAAAATTGTCGTTGGGTGCCCCTGGGTACTCCCGCAGGAAACACTTCGCAAAAAAGCCAGTAATCCTTAAAATAAGTGCAGGTGCATAATGGAGCAAGATATTTATTCAAATTTTCTTGACAAAGTTACATGATTTCTTGTGTGTATCTCTAGCCTGTATAAGGAAATCACGTACTTCAGACATGGTTTGAATGACTTATTTCTCCTGCTCTTTTTCAGAGTTTATGTTGTTTTTAACAATATAAACGGATTATCTAACAAGAGCTAAAACAAATGTAATACTGTTTTTACCCTGTGAGCAGAGGTTTCTCTCTTACACAGCTTTTAGCTTTTAGGAAGTTGTTCACATCGCTTCTCAGTCGTTTTGTTTGTTTTATTTTTATATGCCCCTTTTCTCCTGGGGCATATAAAACAAACCAACTACATGACTGACAAGCGATGTGAATGACTTCCTAAAAGCTAAAGCCTTTGCTGGCAGGGTAGGTGGTTTCAGGCTTCAATTTGACGAAACTAAGTGCGTCATGTAAAGTGTTGCACTACATTATTGAGTCTAATTTCAACAATATACCAATATACATATTCCCTACCTTCCCGAGAACAAAAGAATCCCTGCGCACATCAGACTGCCAAACTATTATAGAACATAAGAGATAAAAAGAGTCTGAGTAAATGTAACAATAGTTTTAAATGATATGAATTTTATTTTTTGTAAAATAATAAATGAGTTTCTTCTTACCAGAATTGGTCTTTTGGCAAAAGGAACTGCCAATAACGCAAGGTTATGGAGGTGATGGTAGAGGTTTCCTGTCATGAATGACTGATAACAAAAAGCAGATTATAAAACATTTAAAAACGTTCCAGAAACTGACTCTATACTTCATGGTCTTAATAGAACTAAGTACAATTTCCATCTGCATATTCTCTCATGGTAAAGGTAGGGAGAAATTGCTTAAAAATCATATCAGTATACAGGGCTCCTAAAAAGTGCCGTCTGGTAGTTCAGGACAAGTAGATTTGCTTGCTGGGCAAGAAACTTTTACAGCCTACTTGGCCAATGGGCAAGAGTCCAGGCAAGACATCCTCTAACAAAATCATTAACTAACACAAGCAAGAAGTGGCTCCAGGCAGCAAAATGTGAGAGCTGCTTACCCAAGGGACAAGTTGGAATTCAAGTTTTTTTTAGCCCTGATTATGTCTTACTGTCAAACTCAGAAAACCATGAATACCTGAAAAATTTTAGGAATGCTGATTGTGTGGTGACCAATCACAATGAAGTTCAGGACATGTGAACAAACCACAAAACCACAAACTAACTACTGTTGCTGTTTGCGGTTTAAGTTTGTCACACCTTAT